GCTGTATGCTCAGATCGATTTCAAGCTTTAAAATTCACCTACTTTTTTTGTCACCCAGGTCTGTCCATTTTCTTTGGCTGACATTCTTTCTTTTTTAGGTATTTCACCTTTTAGGGTTTAATCTCATCTACCTCTTGCCACTTTTACTCTTTCCCTTCAATTAATATTTCTTGACATCTCATCCTCTCCTAATGGGTCTTCACTTCATCCCTTTTTCTTCGGGATCAAGCTATTTTCATCCATTATATTTCCTTAGAATCCATCTCCTACCAAAGAATCAGATTTTTCTGATGAAAGCGATTCCGATGAAAGACAAGAAGAAAAGAGTACCTTAATCAAAAAAAGTGACAGCAAATAGAGAGAGTCTTATAGAGTAAGATAAACTCATTGAGGTCTCTATATATACTCTGTATGACCTCAACGTGATCCTCAAAGACATGATGAGTGAGCTAAAGGGTAGAGTAAATCCTAAAAACTATCATAACATGTGTTTAACTTATCACGTTCGAGCTCTGGATACCACTTTCTTTTTTCTTAGAGAAAGATATAGTATAAAATGCTGAACTCTTCAAATCTAGTCATTGATAGACTAGAGCCATATTGATTTTACGTATATTAGGATTCATTTGTGGTCAGTCTGAGGTTTTCACTTTATCTTTTATTTATTTTAATTTTTACTTCTTACAATTTAATATCATCTAGCTCACCCCAACTTTTGTTTGGTACATAGTCTTTTTTATTATTCTTTATTAATCTTTAAATATTCTTCATTCTTTTTCTCTATTTAGGGAGTTTTTCTCTTTTAAGAAACATCTTAGTGATAGTAGGTAGTTTTATATCACAGCTTAACCAAATAAAAATATTTTCATCAATTGTCTAAGCTTAATAAAGAATTGGAAGCTACCCTTCTTATGTTTTAAGAAATAGAAGGCTAATAAAGATGGTGACCTTGAAGTTGAGGCTTGAAAAAAAAAAGTACACCTAGCTTATTTATAAACACACCGGTGGCCCTCTCTATCTGTAATCTATCAGATTGAGATAATATTTTAGATTTTACACATAAGAGGAAGCTAATTATCGATGCTCATAGGCTAACCTCTCCGAAAGTAATAAATAAAATAAAATATTGGGGTATGTTTGAGGTAACCTTATCGGGTTTTGTTTTGAGTTGATTTTTTATCTAATTATTAGCTCAGTTTTGTAAATATGGCTGAAACAAGGGAAGACTTCAATATCGCCCTATATCAACATGCCCTGAAGCCCAAAAGGGAAAAAATCTAACTTTGGGCTCTGTCGCATGTAAGAGACTAAGTAGTCAGCACAACTATACCTCACACTCCCTCAAGTCAAAAATCAAATGCTATGGTAGGTTGGGACCTATCCTTCACGTTAACATAGATGCCACCCCTTTCAGCCAAAAGACCATGGATGGAAATGTTGTCCTTTGCTCTTGAAAACCACGAGGCTAGGGTGCTAAGACCTAACTCTAAAAGAATATCTATGGGGTTAGAATTTGCTCTGACAAATGATCCCATCTTTAACTTCGATGTTGCTACGAGGTTTTGTAAGGTCACAGTTTCTTCTCTTAGTAAGTATCTCCTAACCTCAACTTATTTCTTTCTATTTTTTTATTTTTAATTTTCTAAGTCTAGGGTCTTTCTATGCAGTCCAAAAGAAATTCCCTCCATAGTCTATGGAGATCAGCATTCAGGCCCTCTATCATACTTATCTAGCAATAAGACATATGCTGAAGGTTGAAAAAGATATGGTTGCCCTCATCGAATAGCACAAAAAAAGCTCAGAGGCATTGGATAGTGTCAGATTGAGCCTCACTGTATCCCACAAGAATGAGGTAAAGCTGAGAAAAAAAGTAGACAACGATGATAGCAAAGCTAGAAGTCATTTCGATGGATAATGCCTTAATCAAATTGATAAAGGAACAGGTTGAGCTAAAACTAAATGATGCTTAGGTTGAAATTACGAGGCTGAAGTTCGAGTTAAATGCTCAAAACAAGAGGGAAGGGGAACTGGAAATAAAAACTGTGAAAAAGTATAAAGCCTCTGATGAATGTCTTCGGATAAAGGTAAAATTTTTTAGAAAGAACGTTCTTGGTACCTTTCAGTTGGTTAAGGAAGAGATGTAGTTTAAATTCACATCTCTTATTTTCAACCTCTTTGATATTGATATCAATAATATCATATCAAGCATGTTCAGAATCAGCTTAAAAATGATGAAAAAAGGAGGAGGGGGAGAAAGATAAAGATAAAGCCTTGGAAGAAAAGTTAGAGGCAGCCATAGGGACAGAGGAAGAAGATGTGGAAGTCATTGATGCTAAGGTCATTTCTCTCACTGTTACTAGTGAGAGTACCCCTCCTACTGCTGCTGCTATCGTTGATGAACGAATTTGATGATTTTTATTTTTGATTTTGTAAACTTTTTAACTTTGAGGTTAGGTTTTTGTAAAGACGTTTCATACTCCAATTGATGTACTTTATTACATTGAAATAGAAAAAAGAATTTTCTAAGTTTTATCTTGGTTTTATTGCCATTTTTTTCTTACTTGCATAAGTTTGAGAACAGATAACCAATCTAAAGGTAAATAATTTTGGATTGCTTGGATCAAACCAAAATAGTTACAACTTCTAAGTCAGATTTCTTTGAATCACTTAAAGATAAGTTTACTGAAGATAATTCAATTTATATGTTCACATGTGAAATAATACAAGTGGAGTTCGATTTGTTTTAATCTATTGGTAATCAAGTTGATTTGTATTTCACATACTTAAAGTGGTAATGCCATTCATAAAATAGTATAAGTGTGAGCTCGATTTATACCAAGCTATTGATAATAAACCTTTAGGTTGTCTGAGTTCCACATCCTTGGGATGACATTGCTATTCAAATCTTGTAATTTGTAGGTTGCATCGTGAATAACCTCCTTAATAATATATAGTCCTTCCCACGTGAGGCCAATTTACCACATTGATCATCTAGCCCTAAGGTTTTAACTTTTTGAGTACTAGATCACCCTTCTTGATGTGTTTCTGCTAAACCCTCTTATTATAATAATTGGTTACCTTTTACTGGTAGGCTGCATGGGTCAAAGCTATATATTTTTGTTCTTAAATAAGGTTAAAATCAGCCTTAATTATTTTTTTATTTTTTTTACTCTAATTCAACTCTTAAGCTTGGTAAGTCGATCTCAACTAGTACTACGGCTTCTGTTTCAAATGCCAAGTGAAAAAAAGTTTGACCAGTAATGACCTTTTGGTTATCATCAGGGCCTACAAAACTTTTGGTAGCTTATCGACCCATTTTCATTTTTGCTGTATTGAGCTTCTTTTTTAGAACTTCTAATATTGTCTTATTTGTAGCTTCAGCTTATCTGTTGGATTGAGGGTGGGCAACCGATATGAACCTAAAGTCGATGTGAAGATTTGAACACTATTCTCTATTTCTTATATTATCAAATTATTTACCATTGTTCGTTATTATAGATCAAGGTAATCCAAATCTTCAAGCTATGTTTTTTCATATAAACTTCTCAACTTGTGCTTTTGTAGTGGTGGCTAGGGCTTTGGCTTCCAACTATTTCGTAAAGTAATTTACTGTTACTATAATGAATCTTCACTAGCCTATGACCGGAGTAAATAGTTCAAAAACATCCATTCTCCATTGCATGAATAGTCATAAGCTAATGATAAGAGTGAGCTTGATTAAAAGGAGATGTTACTTATGGGTAAACCTTTGATATTTATCACATTTTTTCACTAGTTCAATCATATCCCTCCTGATGGTAGGCTAATTATGGCCTTACCTCAGCACTTCTTATCTAGTTCAGGTGTGTTCTTCTTATCTAGAGGCCAAAGAGGCTTATGCCTCTTCGTAGCTCGTCTGCTCGACAATAGCTTTTCAACCCAGTGTGACTAAGTCTGACACTTTGGAGACTTATGGTAAGGTTATAGTTTGCACCATCTGATTAAGGGCTTGTATCTGTTCGATTATGGCTTGAAATTGCTCCATGGTTGACCTTGCTTGTGGTTGAGCTAGGCAGACATAATGTTGGCTTTGATGAGTTTCTGTTCCAGCCAGGGTGGTTGTCTCTCCTTCTTCTTGGGTTTTTTTTCTTGATGGCATTGTTTTGTGTTTAGCTAATATGAAAATGTTTTCCTTTACCTAGCACACCAAATATTGATGTCGAGCTCCAACCTGAGAATATTCTTATGAATGCAGAAGAGAAAGACAGTTAAAGGTAAAAACAAAGGGTATTCCCTATATTTGCACTTTAATACATAAGTCAATAAGAATTAGGTTAGAAAAAAAGTGAGAAAGTAAGAATGAAAGATAAATATGAATTAGATGAACCTGCTTTATATTGCTTAAGTCTCCATATTTATAGGCAATTTGAGAAGGACAAAAAGAGGACAATTAAAACAAGGTCAAGTTGAGATAGCACTAGAGATGTCAGACCAACTTGATATGTCAAGTCGATACAAATAACTAAAATACTTCTAGTTGTTTGCTGAAGATTAAAAGAGAAAAAAAAATAACTGTCATTTTGATCATTATATGCTTATAATAGAATCTAAAAAAAAATCATGATGGATTGATAAGAATGTTGAGATTAATTATGAGTGAATATTTCAAACTTAACAATTGAAAAGGAAAAAAAAAAAGTCAATCTGTACATTCATGATGGTAAATTCTCAACAATAATTACCATAAAATACAAAATAATAATGGACTCCATAATTTTAATAGTCCTCATTTACAATATCCGAACACGTGGTTGTCACGTGACATTATAAAGCATGAAAAGAAAGTAAAGCTTGTTTGTTGAAAAAAGGGAAGGCTGAGGTTTGACTTTAGTCATTTGGTACTACTATTTTCTTCTAGCATGTAATAATAATAATATAAAGAAGGAGTAGTGGGGGCCAGTTGTTTTCAAGCGTGCGTCTTTGACCCGTTTGTTTCATCTCATCTCCTCCAATCCATCAAAAAATATTCATCTCCAACTCAGTATATCTCTCAATGAATTTAGTAATAATAATAATGTAATTTTTTTTTTTTTTGAAAACTCATGTTGGCGACTTAAGTTTAATTAAGGAGCTGCTTTGACTAAGCCAACTGAATTATTAAAAAATCCAAAAAAAAAAAAAAAAACTCTAATACTTTTCTTAGTTGAAAAAAAACACATATCCCTCACTTCCGATTCTTCCCTTGTTTTTCTTTTTCTTTTCCCCTTACCAAACACAAATTCCCTCTCTGATCTGCTCCAAAATACAGAGAGAAAAACAGGCATAATCATTTTGTGGAAGACAGAGAGAGAGAGAGAGAGCCAATAATTTTCTGGAATTTTTAGTCAAACTTCTTTATTTTCTCTTTTGGCTATAGTTCAGAGAGGAGTATTTTCGAATTTTATTGTTTGCTAGTTATTTTTTTCTTTTTTGCTTCTTGATTTGATCAACGATCAATATTTGTGTGAGTTTGGATATCCGTTTTAGACCAAATTGACGCCTCCACTATTCGTCGAAATGGAAGATTGATGACGATTTTGGGGATTTAGCTCTTTAAATCAGAAGTAGCCGAAAACAGCGAAAAAAAAGGTGATGGAGCGATTAATCTCCGTTCCTTTATGGTTGATTTTGGTGTTGGATTTGGTTTTCAGAGTTGCGGGAAATGCGGAAGGTTCGTTATGATTATTTCCATTTTCTTTTATTTATTTATATATTTATCTTTGTATTCTGATTATTTTTGTTGAATTTTCCAATGGAATTATTGTTAAATTAAATTTATAGGATTCAAATTAGAAGAATTTAGAAGCTATTATTGGATTGCTTTTAGCAGTGGCATAAGGTTGACTGCTTGTTTTAAATTTCAATTAGCCTCAGTTCACTAATAGACTTGACTGTAGGGATCGTTGCACGCTTGGAAGTGATTAATTTCTGCGAATATTTTGGATATGATTTACGTTCTAATTTTCGATATTCAGGTTGGGGAAATTAACTAATGCCTTGTCTTCATCGACGTCTGATGTCATCTGGATAGTATTATGTTCACTGCGTTGAATCTTTCAAGTTTGGGTGGGGTTTTTGCCCTTCCCAATACTTTAAATGGTTTCATGATATGATTTTATCTCCATTGGAGTTTTCGATTTTTGTAATGAAATAAATGTTCTTTACCCTATTTCCTTTTTGATGTTTCCCAATTATTGCAAATTGAGAAACAAACTTCTTTGATTTGCAAATACTGACAGTAATTATGGAAACATTTGTTCACTTTCTTTTAAGTTTTATTTCTCATCCAAAGTTATATATGCTTCTTGCTTATTGCTGAGAATGATGTTTTGCAACAACCAATATTCAATTGCTTTGTTTTTGTATGAAACAGGTGATGCGTTGAATGCATTGAAGACCAATTTGGCTGACCCTAATAATGTGTTGCAAAGTTGGGACCCAACCCTTGTTAATCCTTGCACATGGTTTCATGTTACATGTAATAGTGAAAATAGTGTAACAAGAGTGTAAGTTTACTTGTATATCTTTTTGCTACTGCTGTTGATGTTTCTTTCCAGTTTCTAGTTTGACTTAATAAATGCTTTTACTTTTGTCAATTTAGTGATCTTGGGAATGCAAATCTATCTGGTCAATTGGTTCCACAGCTTGGGCAACTTTCCAATTTGCAGTATTTGTAAGTTGATAATTTTAGACCTGGTGATCTCCTACTTTATTTTAGATAGAATAAAAACTAAGAACACAGTTCTCACATGCTGCTCCACGTTTTTAGATTTATTTTGAGCTGTAAAAGATAAATAATAAAGGAAAAACAGAAGGTAAGCATGCTTTGCCAAATAGTTAATAGTGTTTTTTATTATTTAGGACTTCCTTTAGATTATATTCTATGATTTGGTTGTAGTAGATAAGTTCACTCAGAATCATATTTCTTAAATTCATAACTGTGTAAAATCGAATAAACATAACTTTCTAAATTGCCTTAGTTAAAACTCATGGTGAAATTCCAATACTTCACCTTAGAAAAAGTAGAAAGAGTTGTAAGCACAGATTGTCTGTGCTTTTGTCACTATGCTCTGGTTTTTATTTGCTATGCAATCTTAATCTTGACTATGGTTGTATTCCATTGGATTGGGTTGCATATTTCATACAAAGATACTTGGATTATGTGCTTCTATTGAACTTCATTTGTGAAAGAATTACTAAGTCAAATTTTTATGACAGGGAGCTTTATAGTAATGACATATCTGGGATAATCCCAGAGGAGCTTGGAAATTTGACCAACTTGGTGAGCTTGGATCTTTACTTGAATAATTTAACCGGACACATTCCAACTACTCTGGGCAAGCTTTCGAAACTAAGATTCCTGTACGAACATATTTTACATTTTTTGTGTGGCTAATTTATCCAATTTCTTTGTTTTCTTGCATTCTAGTCGTATGTCTTGTAGTATATCTAGAAGGCTTTTTATGTGTTGATATATTGCTAGCTGAACTGGATCAGCAAATGGTATTATTACTAGCAATGAATGAGCTTGTTTATAATTTGGTAGATATAAGTATATCCTCTTCTCTTCCTATACATGCAGAATGTTGGTTTTAGTAGGTTTTATAGAAGAGAGTCAACAGGAGGATTCCTAAAATTATTAGATTAGGAATAAGATCCTAGAACTACCAATGACACTTTCCCTGAACTGAGAAGACTTCTTGATTGTTGAAACACATTGGTTTAGTCGTGGACTTCAAAAATTGGATAACTTTTATATAACAGACTAAAAAATGGGCCATGTTGGTACCAAAGACTAGCTAATGACCAAAATACCAGATCTCTTCCACTGTGATTGTTGGTGTTAACTCCCGAGTTCTATACTGTATTTCTTTCTTCTCTTCTTCATTCATGATCTCGTTTGGACAGCAAGAGACCAATCAGATATCAAGTGTAATAACCACCGGGAGGAAAACATTTAGCTGAGTGAATTCTAGGTGATGACATTGTAACCCCCAAATCCCATATTGGGAATATATGTAGAGACTTAAACCTATACATTCAATGTGTCTTTTTGTGGAAAAAACCATGAGACCTTCCGACTCAAAGTGGACAATATCTCATAGATTAGATGCAGGTACTTACAGTTGGTATCAGAGCATGTGTTAGCCTGGTTTGAGCTCTGATACTACACTATTGAGATCTTGGTCCTGTGGAGTGGATCTTGATTGTGATCATGTTTATGATGTGTGGCCTTGATGAGGACATCAAGAATTTGAGTGGGTGGGGCTGTGATACCCATCCACATCTGATGTGAGTGTGATTGTTAGGACCTATATAAGGGTTCAAGTAAATCATTGGTCGCAACTGCAGCTTAAGCTTTTGAGTGTTATGTGGTTTAGGTCCAGAAAGTTGCAGGGCCAGTGGTGCTTGAGTGACATGGGCTCTATAGAAATGATTTCTTTGGTGAAGTAGGCTTTTTTTTTCTTCTTCATATCTGTGCTAAAATTATTCATTAATCATGAGTTTTTATCAGTTACATATCTGGTCTTCTCATCAATATGATATGTAATTGATGCTTCCTTTATGTGGAATAGGCGTCTCAACAACAACACGTTGTCAGGGCAAATTCCTATGCTCTTAACTACAGTTACGTCACTGCAAGTGCTGTGAGTGTTGCTGTCAGAATTTTTTTTTTTTCACATTAGCAGTTTAACCTCATCTTCACAAACAATATATTAATGGTGGGGGATGTTATATTATGTGATGCAGTGATCTTTCAAACAATCAGTTAGAAGGAGATATTCCAGTTAATGGTTCTTTTTCACTATTCACTCCTATCAGGTTTTTCTCTTATGCTATCTCATTTTGCTCTCACCCTCTCAGCCCTAACTCCTGACCCTAACCACCACTGCTTGTTACCATTTTTTCATGTTTAATACTCTCAGAGCAGTCTCTTGAATTGCTGCATCTTTTTTTTTTAAAACAGTTTTGCTAATAATCGACTGAATAATCCTCCACCTGCTCCACCGCCTCCTATCTCACGTACAACTCCAGCTGCATCAGGTTTGTTCTCGATTTATTTTTTATTTTATTATTATTATTATTATTATTATTAACTCTAAACTATGCTTAACTTTGGGGCCCGCTTTTCTTTTATTAGTATTTATTCTTTTTTTTTTCTTGAGATATTCCTTAGAATTTTTCTTTGCATTCACTACTGTTTGGTGTTATCATGTTTCTGTATCATATTGTTGTAGGTTGAGTATATTGCTCTACCTGAGCTTTCTTACATCTGGGTCTGTTTCTTAAGAAGTTACCTTTGAGTGCTGATCTAAAGTCTGATGATGATATTACCTACGAATGGCTTTAGGTTCTTTAGTGGGCTAGAACATTATCTGTAGCTCCAATCCCCCCGTCCACAAGTTCTCTCAGTTGAAATGTTGCCTGCGGTATCTGTGTTGGTACCAGCTGAAAATGTTAATAGTTATGAATATTCATGATACAGGTGTGCTAACAGTATCTAGATTTATCTAACTTCATACTGGCAGGTAATAGTGCCACTGGTGCTATTGCTGGAGGAGTTGCTGCTGGCGCTGCCCTGTTGTTTGCTGCTCCTGCAATTGTACTTGCTTGGTGGCGAAGAAGGAAACCACAGGATCATTTCTTTGATGTACCTGGTTAGTGATTTTTCAAAAGATAGTTTTAATTGATTTTATGGTGTTGTGTGCATGTATTCACTTTTTCCAATTTTCTTTATAGCTGAGGAGGACCCAGAAGTTCATTTGGGACAACTTAAAAGGTTTTCTTTGCGTGAACTACAAGTGGCAACGGATAGTTTTAGCAACAAAAACATTCTGGGTAGAGGTGGTTTTGGTAAAGTTTATAAAGGTCGCTTAGCTGATGGTTCTCTGGTAGCAGTAAAAAGACTGAAAGAAGAGCGGACTCAAGGTGGAGAGTTGCAATTCCAAACAGAGGTAGAAATGATAAGTATGGCCGTGCATCGGAATCTACTACGTCTCCGTGGCTTTTGCATGACCCCTACAGAACGGCTACTAGTGTATCCCTTTATGGCTAATGGTAGTGTTGCATCCTGTTTAAGAGGTATCAGCTGTTGTGTCCTTGTTTATTTCTTTAGTCATATGTTTCCTGTTTCTGCAATTCTGTCTGTATTATCATGTTATTTGTTTTATATATGTTCTTCAGGTTACAATTTATTTCCGACATAAGTTATTTAAGCTTGTGTGAGCTTCAATTATCAATACCTGCTCTATTTCTTTTTTAGTTTGTGAAGAAATTTTGAACAACTGATCACATATCCTGATCTTTTTTTGAAACATTTTTTACATTCTTTTGATAAACTTGTGTTTGGTAAATGCTTGGATTGTCTTTAAATCCAAGTTGAATTGTGAGAAATTCACGGAATCCAAATACTTTGTGAGCTCTTCTTGTTACAGTGGATCATCTATTAATTTGATTTTTACTTTCTCTAGAGCGTCTGGAGTCTCAAACACCACTTGATTGGGCTGTAAGGAAACGGATTGCATTAGGAGCTGCAAGGGGGCTTGCATATTTGCATGATCATTGTGACCCTAAGATTATACACCGTGATGTGAAGGCCGCAAATATATTGTTGGATGAGGAATTTGAAGCAGTTGTTGGAGACTTTGGGCTGGCCAAACTGATGGACTACAAAGATACTCATGTAACAACTGCTGTTCGTGGTACAATTGGTCATATAGCTCCTGAATACCTATCAACTGGAAAGTCATCAGAGAAAACTGACGTTTTTGGGTATGGTGTTATGCTTCTTGAACTCGTTACTGGACAGAGGGCTTTTGATCTTGCTCGGCTTGCAAATGATGATGATGTCATGTTGCTTGATTGGGTATGTACTCTCTCCCTATAATGCATTTCTCAATGGTGATGCATTTCAAAATTTGACTTGTCATTCTTGTCTAGTGTTGGAATTAATTAATTCTTGCTTGTCCTGGTTGGCCAAAAGCAATACACCAAGGTCACTAGCAGAACTACCATTATAACAGAGCGAAGCTAAATGTTATTTTCCTCGCTAGGTGAAAATGCAAAAGCAGAAAAATAAAAACAGTTGAAACTTGACAATGTTTTCTCTACAAGGTGAAAGAGGGGAAAAGAAAATATAGAAATAGTTGTCAAAAATTGTTGAGAGGGGTGATCCTATCTTTCTTTAAAGTTGTTAGCAGTCAAGATGGACCACTCTGTTCGTTAATTTTGGGCATGTTATGAAACATGTTTCAGGTAGCAACATTGTTTTAAATGAACTTGATTTAAAACCAATGGTTTTTTGGGAAGCCTATGTAATTAAGTAGTAAAATCTTGACATTGATCTGTGCTTCATGATTTTTTTATGCCCGTAAGATTGACATCTTTGTCAACTGCAATTATACTAAATTCAAGTAAAGCTTAGTACCGGGCCAAGTGGTTTTTGTTTCACTTTTTTCGAGTGCTGAAATTTCAGGTAAAAGGGCTTCTGAAAGACAGGAGGTTGGAAACGCTGGTTGATTCTGATCTTCAGGGTAATTACATAGACGAAGAGGTGGAACAGCTAATCCAGGTGGCTCTTTTGTGCACTCAAGGCTCCCCAATGGAACGGCCTAAGATGGCTGAAGTGGTCAGGATGCTGGAGGGTGATGGCTTGGCTGAAAGATGGGATGAGTGGCAGAAAGAGGAAATGATTCGCCAGGAGTTTAACCTTACCCACCACCCGAATGCTAATTGGATTGTTGCAGACTCCACTTCTCACATTCCTCCAGATGAATTATCTGGTCCTAGATGATGACCACTTCTGCCAATAAGAAGACTTGAGGCAAGAGTTGGTTTTGTGTTTTAGAGTCGCATTGTTCACATTTGTGCATATAGTTTTTCTTTGTCGTTTTTCCTCTCCTCTTTTATTGTTCTTTCTTTTTTGGGCCCATTTATACTGTTGTTGTAATTTATAGTACATGTTGTACGATGTTGTTTGCTCTTTGCTTTGTAAGAGAACACTAGTGAAGTGCTAGAAAAAAAGACGGGTCAAGAAGGGCCATAGAAGCACCCTTGTTATTTTGATGCACTGAAACGTTAGTGATAACTTTTTCACGAATAAATACAGTAAATCGTTAACCACGATAAACTTTTTCGGTCATTGCAACCACTCTTCTGCTTTCCTGATTTCAACTCATTTTCATATAGGGCGAGGTTCATCGTTGACAAAAGGGTCAATTTTCTGTAAATTCTTTTAAGTGAGAATTGTGTTAATTGCCGCTAAAGTTCGTGAATAATCGTATATCTTTCTTTACTGGTGGACAGCTTCGTTGTATTATTAAATTACATAACATAGGATAATGTCACTAGCTAATCTTCCATAAAGAATTTCTCCGTGCTTTAATTCTGTTGTTCTCTAGGTCATCCAAATGAACTCATCCTCAAACTGATTCGCTGTGGATTGGGTTCACGGAAAGATGGCCGGCAATTCAAGGCGGCTCCAAACCGCCACAAGTTTTAGTTTTTTTTTTTTTTTTTTACCCACGAATTTTAGTTTTTTTCTTTTTTCTACCCAAACAAGTTTACTCTGGCAAGCGTCAAAACTGATATGATAAAATAAAAAAGTCAAAACTGATATAATAAAATATAAAAATATCACCTACCTCTATTAATTTGAGTGACAAAAAATTTGATAAATAAGATTATGATATCAAATCTTGCGAACAGAAAAATCAAATTTGAAAAAATTTATCTCTTATATAAAATCTGACTTAATTTAATTTTGAATTAATCGAAATCTAAAAAGATTTCAGACAACAAAAATAAAGCAAAGAAATAAGCCGAGGCGAGAGTAGAGGTATATATAATTGGGCCTTACTCTCGGACGATTTTAATACATTCCTTCCAACATCTGGGAGATGAATTCGGTTTACTGCCAGTAAAATAAAACAAGGCAAAGTTTGAAATATCTATTTAACGCCTAATCTGTACAAGGATCTGCGTATAACTGCTAACTACATATCACCACGAGGAACAAGTATTTGCTTCAAAGACCTACCTGAAACAAAATCTTTTCCTTTCCTTACCTGAGCTCTATGCTCTCTACATATGCTCGCAAGGAAGGATCTATCCTAATTTTCTACCTTTACTGTGATTGACGTTTACATACAGGCAAAACAACTTTGAATTCAGCATTACTTTCTACCACTAGTCCCAATTCGAGGCTTGCTTTTAACCTCAGAATCCTGCATAACACAAAGCATGCAAGAATAGGTTAAATGTCAAACAAAACAAGCCGGCAATAGTGTAGAAAAGCATTAAAAACGGAAGAGACCAAGTAAATATACCTGTGGCAGATGTAGGAAAATGTATGTCTTTGCTGTTGCAGGATTATGATTCTCTGCACCCTTGCTCCAGTCATAACACACCTGTCAACAGAAGTTTCAAAATAAAATAACATATCAATGCAAGGGATTTTTATTAGGCAAGAACGGAGGGATAATATAGGTTTTCTTGGTGTTCAAGCTCAAACAGATAGCACATGAACCAAGAAACTGCAATATCTCAACCACAGATAAAAGACTTACCCTCAACAACACCAGTTGAAAACAAAGTAGTGCAAAAATGTCATTTATTAGAGCCCAGTTGAAATCTATCTATAGATTTCAACACAACTTCCATGCATTTTAATTTAAACCTCTTATTTCTTAACCCGTAATTTTGTTTTTCTTCTTATCCACGATGAATTTGTGAGCATGATGTATGCATGTCTATCCTGATGAATGCATAAGAAAGAGAAGATTTTTTTTTTTTGGGGAGGGGGGGGTGGGGAAGGGAGCAGGGAGCAGGGGATGCTGTTATATAGGGGGCTCACAGTTATATGTGAGGAATTCATAAAATCTAAAATGCTATATTGAAAAAAATAAAGTGATAATCTGAGCCTCTTTGCATACTTCATAAGACATTAAACAGCCTACTATTAGAATTGGCTAAAAAAAAATAAACTCCCTACTATTAGATCGTTAAATCATAGAACCACAAGACTATAACCTTACAATTACACCTGAAATAATCTTAGCATACAAGAATGAATATACAATCAATTCAACTCCTACACACAAAAGTTCCTTTCAGTAAGAATAAAAGGACTTTTTATCTATATGACATGGAGAAGACACATGTAATGGTGATTAACCAATGGATGGAAAATCAGTATACTAATGCATGTAGATAGAATGAATGGCCAAAAAAAAAAAACACATGAAGAATGAGAAATATACCGAGTATGCAAATAAGGAACCATCATTGTTGAACGTGCTGCAAGGAATAGGCTGACTACACCTGGACATGGCCTGAGATCAGATCACATAGAATCAAGTTAGATTAATTAATTTGTGAGAAAGGGAACTCATAGCACAAGCGCCCAGCCAAAATTCCATTTTTCTCTCCTATATAAATTACACATGCCTCAATAAATTAGAGGACTTAATTCAGGGCAATTGAAGTAACAAAGACTGAATTCAAATTTAAGAAAGGATTTATTTATGATTTTCGTTAGTAAATGCAACCAACCAAATGACATACTGATATAGGCCCCAAAAATTCACCTCCACAGACACAGTTTACTTCAGTGTGTACAAGCATGTGCATGTGCATGTACATTACATATGTCTCAATGAGAAGAAACGGCTATTCAAATGTGCCTAGTGGTACATAAATATGTCATAAGCCTTACTAAGAGATCTTTTACGTGCATTTCCACAAGTTTATAAATGGGAAAATGTGAAGACATGTAGCCTAAAACTAGCTTATGATTGCTTCGCCACTTGAAAAGAAGAGAGATGTAAGTTTTCTTTTCCAACATAACCAATAGATAAAATATTAATCGAATTTTTTATGCACCTTCAGTCTCTGTTTACTATCCTTGTCCCAGAAGTTGAAAGCTCCATCAGAACCAGCAGTTGCAAAAGTGTGGTGCACCTGAAACAACGGCACACCTGAATATGATCTTGAGATATAACAAAAACAATGAATAAGATGTAAAAAAAAATAACATCACTTCAGTGAATCAACCTTAACTACTTAGGTGGGATAAAGAGTTGCTTTTAGTTGCCTACACACCAAAATGGAAAAAGATTTGAAGAATCTACAAATAATGTTATGTAATGTAAATTTACAGAATATAATGAAATCGTAGCAGAAATTTACAGGATGGAAATTTAGTGAGTTGACTGAGAACGTCTCATTGCCCTCTCTGTGACATTTAAAAGTAAAATTTTTGCCTTGTTGCTGATCATCCAAATGATGCACACCAACCCGTCCTTCTATCGATCCAACCTAAAGAGAACATAGAACAACAACAACAATCTAAGCCTTATATCCCATAAGTCTCAGGTCGGCTGAACCCAAAGACAACATGAAGGCCGAAATTAAATATTTTCAAATTTGGCTTATTGTTTTACATACAATATTTATTAAACATGAAAAGAACGAAATCCCAAATTCACATACAATATATAGTTCGAGTGGTAGCCAACCCAATAAATTATAATAGAAACTTACATTTTACTGAACAAAATTTATAATAAAACTTAAAATGTTACATACACCTTAAAAAATTAATATTAAATAATGATCTTCCAGAATTAGGAGCAAATGAAGATATTAACAGATTATAGAGAATGGTATATAAACAGAACCCAAAATGAAGAAAGTATCCATGTACAGTGCTATCATAACAAAGACACTATTATAAAATTAGATCACCAAACTAAGAAGTCAAATGCCCAAGAAAGCATACGTATAAGGTTGATGTAATTTCAACAGCATCAAACAAATGAAAATGGCCACTCCAGTAGCGTTGATGGAATGTTAAGTGCCATGCCTTATGAATGTCAAATTGTTCTGGCCATTCTCAAATTGCTCATCATTGATAAAAGATCAAAATCTCATAAAGGATCATGGCATCCCATAACTTCAGGGATAGCTCCCTCAACAATCTATGATACAAACAAAGTTGGCATGCAGCATGCACTAACTGAAACATATGCGAAAATATGAGAAATCAAAGAAAATCCACTGATGTCAACAACAACAGACAATTACAGCTGAGATTAATTAACAATTTGGTTGCTTTAAGCCAAAATAAAGTCTAAAAAGGAGGTATCTGCCAATCCAAATTATCCAATTTTATCATATATGCTTTGCATATTTACAGGCAAGAATTTTACTGAGATTTGGGCTGCATAAGAAAATGAAAAAGCTAGGAATCACAGGCACAAATGAAAGCAGGGCACCAAAATGATAAATAGGTTTTGATACTTACCAAGAAGCCTTGCAGATCTGGGAAGGCAGCAACACACCTTGTCTGATATTTCAAGGGTGAAAGAATCCTCTTGTACTCGGTCTGCATTAGAAGGAAGAAAAATAAAAACTTAAAATCCAAACATAAGGCAAAATGAAAGGTATAAAATGACCACTGTAGAAAAAAAGAAAACAAATCATCAGTAACATGGTAATACTTTTTAGGTCCATGAAATATTCAAAAGATACCAGGTCTTAAGTTGTAAAGACGCAAGTTTTATATGCACAGACTATACTACAAGCATTAATGTAGAGGCAATTATGCAGGTCACCAATAAATTGATGACATATCAACATTGATTATTCTGCAGATGAGGCAGCTATCTATTGGAGACCCTTGATTTTATGCCATTCTGTTTCATTATTTCCAGTGCAGTGAGAATGAGAACAAAGAAATGATCACTGTGATTAACTCTCCTAAAACATACAATGCTAGTATAGAAAGCAAAGAATGAACTGAAATATGTAGAACTTCAAAATAACAAAACCTTACCTGTGGATTCTGCAAGTTGAAGACAATTAAATTTCTATCAGCAGTGCCAACAACCATGAGAGGATGTTTCACTGTAAGTGCATAGCAGCGGTCAGGGAGCTGATGAACGTGTACAGGATTCGACTGCCTCGTATCCCAATACCTAAATTGGTGGGAAATATATGTCAACAAAAATGCACAAGGAAACTCGAAATGAATTTTATATATAATGAAATACTAAAGAGTGTCACGGACATCAATTTATCAGCATACAAAAAGGCCAATATAAGTGATAACAGAGTTCAAGAGGAAATCATCATTCACTAATCAACAAGTGGAAGTCTTGCAGCTAGTGATGGCAACGGGTCGGGTCGGTGCGGGTTTTTGCTCGTCCCAAACCCGACCCGATTTTAAATATGCAATACCCGAACCCGTACCCGACCCGACATTTTTTTTCATTTTTAATACTCGAACCCGACCCGACCCCGACATTTGTATAAAATCAAATCCGACCCGACCCGAAATTAATAAAATATTATTTTAAATATAATATAAAATTAAATATATATAAAAATATATATAATTAAATATAAAATTAAAAAAATAATTTTTTTATATATATCGGGTCGGGTAGGGTCGGGTTTGCTCAAAACCCGACCCTGACCCGAACCCGAAATTTTTTTTACTCTACCCGACCCGATACCCGATTTTCAAAAAAAAAAAAAAAACCCAACCCTAAGGGGTCGGGTCGGGTCGAAACCCGACGGGTTCGAGTGATTTTGCCCACCCTACTTGCAGCAGTGTTTAAACAATTAATTTGTATAGATATGCCATATTTGACTCACTTCAATGTCTTGTCCCAGCTTCCTGTGACTAATAAACTCATCTCAGGGATCCAAGCCATCTCTTTGATGGGTGCATCATGCATTGCCACAGTCATTAGCTGGCCGCCAGACATCAAAGGCCACATTTTCACTTGTTTGTCACATCCACCAGAAAATACAGTCATTCCATCATCTTTCCATGTTGAGCACAATACCTGTAAATAGAAAATGTGCCAAAAAAAAAAAAGAAAAAGAAAAAAAATTTTAAAAAAATGCTGAACGTAATTGCACATCCATTTAGGGATTAGGGACCTAAAGATGGAAAAATGGAAAACAAACTGCTATATCAAGGAACCTTAGGCTCGAGGTTCAAATGTCCTCTTACCAATTTATTAACTTAACCATTAAGAACAATAAAAAAAAATACCAAATAATGAAATCAAAGAACAGTTATTACCGGCTGATCGTGCATTATGGATGCCTTCGGCATGCTGGCAACATTTACCCCATTTCGAATTATCTCCCAACATCTCACCTATAAATATATTTTCACAAATATATGTAAATGAAAACAAGTTACACTTTTAACAGTTAATAACCGCTAAACAGAAACTTTGAGGAAAAAGAAGCACGTGCTTGCTCACACATATCTATATGCATAACCTAATATTTCCCGAACAAATTGGTTCATTTTTTTTTTTTGTTTGGATGCCAAAAAATTCGAGTAGTTGTAAAGAAAGCTAAACAAAATATTTCGTTTATTAAACCCTAAAAAAATTCTACATTCACCTACCTTTTCCAATATTTTCTCAGTAACCAAACAGAATTTAAAATAAATTAATATATGCTGAAGTGTACGTTATTCCGCATATATACCTTACCTGGTTATCCCAAGAAGTTGCGACCAGAAAATTGGCCTTAGGACTGAAACTGAGACTTGAAACAGAGTCATTAGGAGGTTCCAAAACCTAATATAATAATAAATCAAAATCAAATAAACAAGAGATTAAAAGTTAACTCACTTTGTTCACTGATCAAACAAGGCAAAACTTGAAGTCGTAAAAGGAAAAAAATTTCTAAAAACAGAAAAGCTAACCTCGAAAGACTTGTTTGGATTTGGATTTCCAAGCGTTGTCGCCGTCAAGAAACTCGCCATTTGAGCAAATCGTTTTTCTTTTTCCTTCTTTTTGAAAACCAATAATATGCTAAAGAGAAAAAATGAGAAGGCGAGAAAGCGAGCGAGAATTTGAAGAGAAAAGAAGAAGGGGAAGATGGAAATAAAGAGGCTGTTTGGATTGGAAGCTTTGATTTGCAAGAGAAGGAAGAAAATGGGAGGTAAAAGGAATTAAAAGTGTGAAGCTATATATACAGCCAACGCAAGACTGTCTCAGTCTATGTTAGCGTTGGCAGAACGCAGCAAGAAAAATAACGGTAGTGACACGTGGCAGTTGTTAATAGCACGACCCCGATGTAATAAAGTTCAGAGCAAAATTACGATTTGGCGCTATATAGTTTTGGACTTTTTAGTTTTCAACCATTATATATTGGGTTAATTTTATTTTGATTTGACTCTTAAAAAAAATCTTATAATATAATCCCTTTTTTTGTAATATAACTTCAGTTTAGAAGAAAAGTATTGGTTTAAATAGTAATTTTATCTCCATGTAGTTATTGAAATTTATCATTGTAATTTGTTTTGATTGAAATTTAATATTATATTTTTATTTTTTTAATGATTTTTGGATTACACTTAATGAAAATAGAATGTTTCATTAAATATTTTGTTAATATATTTAAAATTAATTTGGAATAAAATAAAAAATATATTGTGAATATTCAATATGTAAAAAATGTAAACCGCGTCACATTAAAAATTATTGCACATCTAAAATTTTTTTTTTTAAGAAATGTATGCTAAAATAAATACTTTTATAAATATTAAATTTAAAATACTTTTAAAATAATTATAATTTATCAAATGAAAATAAATATGAAAAAAATTAAATGAGAGAAATTAAATGAGAAGAAAATAGAGAAAAAAAAAAACTGAGAAAGAATTAGGGTGAAGATTAAAATAAAATTATTTTGTTATTAGAGTTGTAAACTAAATTTTATTATTTTGGAACAATGAATGATTTATTATATGAATTATATTTTTTTATGTTATATTTTCATAATACTTGACCTTGCAACCATTTTAGGAGATTTTTATTCTAATTCTTTCTCAATTGTTTTTTTTCTCAATTTTTTATTTAAATCTCTTATAATATAGTATTAAACTTCAATATCCAATCGTAGTACGATGAAAATTTTATCCCTTAATGTAAAAATATTTTATAATTTTATTAAAATTGATGAAATAATTCGCCAGATTATTAAAATTAGATTTTTTTTTATACTTTATTATACTTCCTACATTTATTAGTGTCAAATTATAAATGGGGAATTTCAATTTTGTCCATTCAAAAAATCAAATTTAAATTCCATCCCTCCCAAGTTTGGTCCGTAGATTCCAAGTAATGTTTCACATATTCTTAACTCGCTTTTGACCCGCTTTTGTTGATATGTAAATGAGTTGAGTTAAGTTAAGTTGATATAATAAAAATTTTGAGTTTGAGTTCAATTTAAAATTTGTTACTTAAAATTCAATTTAAATTTGATCGAATTTTAATTTTTAAGTTCGAACTCAATTCAAGATAAAAATTAAATTATTAATCTTGTTCAATTAAACTCGTTTAATAATAATGAATTTAATTCTCATACTTAATTTCAAGCTCAATTATATGTTATATATATATATATATAAAGGTAAAATTATAATATTTTAATTAAAATAATAAAAATATATTAAAATTTAAAAATTCGATTAAACTTGCGAACTATTCAAATTACACATTAAGATATTTAAATTTGACTCACTTGATAAATCAAATTACTCGAATTAAAATTCGAGTCGATAATGATTAAGTCAAATTCAATTTTTATTTAAGCTAAGCTCAAATAGCTTACAAACATTAATATATCATTTTCACCCTCGTACTTTTATGTTTTGATTAAACAGTCCAACACCTTTTTGGCTTTTTCATTCAAAGATACTATTGTTTAATGTTTAGAAGCATTGCCCGTCCGCTTTTACCCCCACCATATTATCAATTCAATTTATATATTTGTTACACGTAATGATGTAGTCAATAAGATTAGTCTTTACAATAACACATATTTAACTATTACATCACTATTAAGAGAGATAGATGCTTAAGTTTTTCATTACAATATAAGTTCGTCTTTAAATTGCTCGTCTACTAATAATTTTTTTATCAAAAAAAATAACTTATTCTACTACCCTTACTAATATTCTATCAACACATCCATCCTAACAAACCAACTTACTTTCAATTTATCTAAAATCATTAAATGTTACATCATGCTTACCTATATGAATCCTCCTTAAACCTCATATGAAATTCCCATCAACCATCGTCTACTTTGAACTTTGTTATGATTTTTTCACTACCTCACATTCCTTATAATGGTATATAGGAGGTCCAAGTACATTGATTTTAAATCTTTCATTCTTAAGCTTTATTTGCTACTCATTTTGTTTCTCTAAAACTCTAATACATTTACTTAAATTAAGATTGAAACATATTTTCAAAAACAAACTCCTATACCCTTTAATTATACTTTCCTTACTATAAGTTCGAACTAATTCAATTCACCTTCCAAGTTCCCACTCACCAACCATATCACTATCACCAAAAATAATATCAACCACATCCCATTTTAAACCCTTGAGCCATCCTAATTACATCTATCTCAATTTGGATTAATATGGTTTAAACCATAGTTGTTAAATTCATTTTGATACCAGTCATATCGCCGTTATGCTCCAATTATACCAAAACATGATACTTCTAAAGATATTTTTTGTATCAGATTTGATACCAAATAATACAAATTACTTTTATTACTTTCGATTAGTTTTAGTGAATTTAAGTGGATTAAATTGTTTCGATCGGTATGTAAATGTAAAATATATTTTATAATTTTTAATTTATTTTTTGTTGTTTAATTATTTTTAACCTAATAAAAATAAAATTAATGATAAAATAATTCTTAGAAGTTAGGTTTCTCTAATTTTTTTATTATAATTTGTTTGTTTTTATACTTTATTTTTTCAAATCAAAATTCATAAATATTTTAATTTTTTTCAAAAAAATAATTATGCTTCCTTTTTTAAGTTTAATAATAGTAAAGACAAGAATAATTTTTTTTATCTCTTTGTTTTTTTTTAATATTTATATAAAAAATATTTATTTAAATATTATATAATCAGATTAAGTGGTTAACAATATTATAAAAATTTTATGATATTATTTTTATATTTTAAACTTATTTATTTGGTTTTGAAAAATATTACATATTTATGTTGTAGATTATTAATAGTATTATAATAATTTTTATATATTTATAAACATATTTATATTAAATCAAAAAATTCAAAATAATATATCAAAATTATTGATATTAATATATACCATATTTATAAAAAAATCAAAATATTATTTGATATGATATTAACAATTTTGTTTTAAACGTAAATTATTGACAGAGTAGTTTTTAAGGGTTAATCTGTGTTTATTGTCATTTCTCAATTCATTCTCCTTCCCATCAATGAATAGAGTTGGATCGGCAGTAGCCCATATCAAACTTCATCCACAGGCTTGCAAGTTCGGATGATAAATGCCTTAAAATGGCACTTAATTGGGCAAACAGCCCAACTAGATTCCTCGGCCTCGAAATACAATTATTATATCCATTAATTTCTTATAAATAAAAGATATGAAAGAATCTGTATCCTGGTAAAGCATTCACTGATTGATTTATAATCGTTTACACTTTTATCCAGATTTGAATTCCTTCGCGATAAATAAAAAAAAAAGAAAAGGAAAATTTGCAATTTTGCATCTCGATTCTCGAAGAATACGTCACGTGCGAAAAATTAGCCTGCCGAGTAATTCCAAATAAATGATTGGTATGAAAAAAAATTAATTTTTATATTATATACATTTGGGTGTAGAAAAAATTATTTTTTTTAATTTTATATATATGGATGTGATTGATACATAAAATTATGATAAAATAAAATAAGATAATATTATGAATGAAATTATATTGAATAATATTATCATATCTTATATTCGATGTGTTAATGATTAAGATAGAATAATTTATTTATTAATTAAAATTATCTTTTCTTAATTGATATTTATATAATTTAAATTATTAATGATTTTTAATTAAAAATAATTTTTTCTACTTCAAGAGAATTGGATTATCTTATACCAAGAGAATAATTAATTCTCATGATAATCCTATCATTTTTTTCATATAAATCAAATATAATATAAAATTATTATCATTTTATCGTACCTATCATCTATTCATCAAATATGATCATAGAATATAATATATATATATATATATATAATAGAGTGGATCTATCTATATTAATGTAAGTTTTATATTTTTTAACCTTTAAATCAAAATTAAATTTATAATTAATTTTGATCAAAATAATAATTTTATTTTAACCATTTTGATTCAATGATAAAAAGCATAAAATTTATATCAATGTAAGTAGATTCATCCTCTAGAAAATATGTGCATATATATATATATATATGTATATGAAGGATCTACTTACATAATTGTAAGTATTACACTTAAATTTGGATTAAAATAAATAATTTAAATCTTAACAATTTTGATCTAACAGTAAAAAAAAAAATTAAAATACTTACATTGATATAATTGAATCTTTATGTATATATATGCATATAAACTTATATATGTTTTAATATGTAAGTATATTAGGTTTATTTAATTTTTCTTTTGTTCATCTGAAGCATGAAGCTACAACAAGGTTGTTAAGAGATATATATATATAAAATTGAAACTATATGGTCAATGTACATGTGAACTTTCTAAATACTTTATTTATTGAAATTAAAAGCCACAGATTTTTTTAGTAATAGTCGTAGTGAGTTTTGACTATACTACACTTTCAAATAGTTTTTTTTTTTTTTTAAGGAAAAAAATAGTTGTTAAATACTAGTAGTAGTAGACCATTGCAAGTGCATAAGACTTTCCATGTGAAATATTTTATGAATTATTATTTTATTAGTAACATTTTATTTTTAATTAAATTTAATTTTAAATATATTTTAAATATTAATATAAAATTATTTATAATTTTTAATATTATTTTTAAATATTAACCGAGACAAAATGAGAAAACTAAACTTGACCTTAACAAAATTTTGAAAGTATCAACTAAGCTTGTCTTGACCCATG